TTATTAGTGAGGTCTTTATAACTTCATTTTTATTTATTTATTATTATTATCTTATTAGTGAGGTGTTTTGTAAAGACTTAGAAAATGACATTTTAAAAGTGATAGAGTTTAAAAATAGTGAAACTTGATTATTTTAATATTAAAAGGTTTTAATATAAATAGTTTGGTTATGAACAAGATTTATTAATTTAAAGCACACTATCTCTCTAGAAACAACAACTTTTTTAGAGTTCTCTGACTTTTCTCTAAGATTTTCCTCTATTTTCATAGTTTAGTGTGACGACATAGCTCGCTGGTGGTAACCATGGCAGTGTGAGGCTAGGGAATTGTTTTAATAGGGCCCCTAGGTGAGCTCCAAATGTTCTTATCGAATTTGGGAGTTAGACCCTTTGACACGTGGTAGTATGTGGTTGCACCGGAGAAACTCCTTAATATGCTCTAAAGGTTTGAGAAGCGAGGGAGATTCACTTGCAAAAGGTGATCTGACGCTCAAGTTAGTAATCAATCAAGAAGCTTTGAGTATCAAAGTATTATTAACATGTACTTCAATGTGTGTATCTGATGTGCATACATGAGCTTATATAGATTTATGTGATCCTACGCTATTTATGTCACTTGAATATCACTTAAATATGGAATATTTCTATTGGAGACAAACAATTAAAAGGCAATAATTTGTCAGTTGGAAAAAAGAAAAACTGCCAAGATTGTAATAACTATAATAATTTGCTTATGATGGGTCGTGCTATCTGGCCTTTTTAGGCCATGTATGTACATAAGCCCCTCAGTCTTGGGACTTTTCTTTTGGTGTATGAGATTCGTGTAAGATTTTTAGTCGGGCTTGAGTTAACTTAGGTGGTTTGCAGGTTGATTGGCCTAGAGGTCGAGTTCTTATATCGTTTAGTCGTTCGGCCGCCTTTATAGGTGGATTGGCCTCGAGGCCACATTCTTTAAGTCATTAGGCTACTCTTGAAGTAATCAGGCCATTCGGCTGAGCTCATTAGTAGGTTTGGCTCGAGGCCTAGCCATTTGGTCGTGCTCTTAGGCCATTCGGCCATGCTCATAGGCCATTCGGTCGAGTTCCTTAGTAATCAAGCCATTTGGCCGAGCTCTTAAACAAGTTGGCCTCAAGGCCTTCCTGTTCGGCCATGCTCTTAGGCCATTTGGCCAGGCTCTTTACTAGGTTGTTGATTTAAAATAATTATTTGTTAACTTTAAGTAGTTTCTATTTGGTGAAGCCGATTTCAATTTGATGGAAAATCCCCTAGGCATGGTTAAACACTTTCAGAAAGAGTGGAAGTCATTCTTGAAGACGGTATCAACTTTACCTTGTGGACCACCTTTTGAGCCATCATGGAGCATAGCTTGAAGAGTAGTGTAGGTTATTTAGGCCGTGTATTTCGGCCAAGTAGTGTAGGTTTGCTTAAGGCTTGTATTAAGGCCTAATTAGTATAGGAAATGAAGTTCTTACTCAACACTTGGTATCTTTAGAAGAAAACCTTAATTGTTAAACGCTACCTCAATGATAGGAAATGAAAAACACTTTGTTGTTCTGAGCAAGCATTAAATGACATTAAATGCTTAACGTTAAAAGCAACAAAAGTGATAAGAGATAAGACATATATGTTGCATGCACAATCTACTTACTCTTTGCAGATAACCTACTTTACATGCATCCACATACTTCATTTAAAAATCAAAGTGGACGTTAGAGACATAAGAGATATTCACAGAACGTTCTTCATTTGAAGTTGTGTCTAAACGGAAGTACAGTCTACTTCAAGAAAAGAACTGAAAAAGCAAGCTTGCTCTGACAAGTTAACTTTACCAACAGATGTTCTACAAAAAGAAAGAGAAGACACAAGAATCAAGGCCAAAACTTGAGTCTAACAGACGTTTCTCCAAGAGCCTATATATAGAAGATCATTCAGATGAAGAATAAAGAAGATAGCATACAACGAAAATATTCATCATGAGAAAAGCATTGAAAAGAAAAGCATGAAAAGTTCAAGAAAAAGAAAACATCTGAGTAGAAAAAAAGAAAAGAAAGTTTAGCCATACTCTCGAGCTTCATTGTAGTATTTGTTTTCTGTTGTAAGAAAGAGAGAAAGAGAAAAGAGAGAAACATTTGCGATTGTTTAGACTACATTGTATTGTAATCCCATCCTCTCTGCTAGAGTAATAGTCTGAACGACGTGTAAACAATTGTTGACTGCAATTCTGAAGAGAATTGAAACAGTTGTTGTACTCTGTGAAGTTAAGGAAACTAGGCAAGGTTGTCTAGTATCCAGAGTGGTGCGAATACTCATCCAATCGAAGGTAATAAGAGGTTACTCGCTGACTGAGAATACCAAAAGTGGTGCGAATACTCATCCAATTTAGGGTACCAAGAGGTTACTCATTGACTGAGAAGACCAGGAGTAGTACAAATACTCATCTAGTCTAGGGTAACAAGAGGTTATTCGTTGATTGAGAAGACTAAGAGTTGTGCGGATACTCAATTGTAATCTTGTTGAAGATTATAGTGGAACCCTCTGCGGAAGAGACTAAACGTAGTTTAGTTGGAGTGAACCATTATAAAAATACTAGTGCAATTGTTGTTCATCTTTTTGTCTAAATGCTTTTCTCAAAACCTGCAGCTACACTTTTATTTCAACATACAAGAAACTTTCGCACTAAATGATTCTTATTCAACTGAGGAAGTTCTCATAAACACTACAATGTACATTCTGAATAACACGTTAAAAACAACTATCATTCATAATCATTTACAAGGTTGAGCGTTTAAGTATTCATTTGTTAAATCCAAAACTCAACAGACATGCTACATCAGAAGGGTTGTGAGTTTTTTTTTTCTATTAACACTCTTCAACACCTCCCTTCTAGTGTTTTTAAAGTACTTCATGACACTCTAGGAATGAAGAAGATTTTGCTTTATGAGTAGCCACATGTCCTTCCCTTATTAGAGAGGATTTGTGGACACTTGTCCACTCCTTAGAAGACCTCATTTTTTGCAATGAGTGCAAAGGTGAGAGATCATGTTTTTCGAGTTTTTAGGAGACACCCTTGCCAATATATAGAGGTGTCTCCTTTCTTATAATCATCTTGGAAGTTTACAAATGTTTTGTTGCCCAAATTTGGCCAAACATTTTCTAGATCAAGACTAGAGCAACCTTAGAGGCCCCTCTAGTCACCTTCCTCCTTGAGTTTGCCTTACCTCTCTTAGAACCATCAAACACTACACCACCACCATATCTCGTAGAGGTTGTTAGCTTCTACAACATCCACACCTTCTCATCATTCTTGGACCATTTACCACCACTTTTCCACACCATCCATCTAAGGAAACACCCCTCCCTACATATCTCCTAGCTTTGGTCCAACCTAGCATAAGGAGGTTGCTATCATGTGGTATTAAGAGCCTTGGTTCTTCAAAAGCTAATTTTCCTTGGTTCCCTAACTATTTTTACTGTTTTTATGTATTGCTCTTACTTTTCATAATCTTGTTACCTTTTTTGTTGTTTTTATGGTTCTACTTTGTTCTTCTCTTGGAATCATTCATCTTTTCCATTAGGATTTTTATGTGTTTATGTTGCTTATGTGCCTTTTCTGTTTGAGTCATTTCTTGCTGTTTCATTCGATCTTATATGCTTATGTAGTGTCATTTTGATTTTTGAATCCATCGATATTGTCTAGAGTCATGTTTAGTTCTTTATGTCTTTATTTCCAAGTTTAGTTTTTGAAAAATCACCAAATTACATGTTTGAGTAATTTCGAAATTGTTTCATTGTACCTTTGAGTGCTTTTTCATGGCACATTTGAGTTTTCTCTACTTCCCATACTTCCCCTCTTTGTGCCATTGACTTTTCAGCAGTTTTGATGCGATGTTGCCAATCTGGGTGGACTCCTGTTGTGCCAGCCTTGTGTTTCTCATGAGATCGACCACCTTATTGTAGCCAGGTTGTCATGTGTTCAAAACTTTGCCCTGAAATGATGGCCAATGTAAAATCTTGAGATGGACGAGCTTTGCAGGGTTATGCCGATCGGATAGAAAGGCCGATGAGCAAAAAACCAATCAAGTGTAGAAGGTGACTTTGTTTTTCAAGGAAACATCAAGTGTTGAAGTTTTCATGAGTGAGCCAGGTAGTGGTGTGCCGGTTTGCTGCTTGTTTTTTGTGCTTCTGGATATAGAGGCATTTTTCCTTGTGAATGTATCCGGTTGTTGATAAGCCAGGTTCTTCTGATGAACGTACCTGGTCATGAAGACATTGGGTTCCTCTCATGAACACCAGTCATGAAGATGCTGGGTTACTTTCTTGAACATACCTGATCTAATGCTTTGTTTGCTTGATTTGGTGGTTTGCCTCGCCAACAGTGCTTTTTGCACTGCAGTGCATGTTGCATTCTTTAAGGACGGGCTTTTGTGGTAAGGTCGGGCTTTTGTGGTAAGGTCGGGCTTGTTGTAGTACTTCGGGATGCGTGTTGTACCGTAAAGCTTGTTTGGTTCTGTGTTCTGATGTATGTCACACAACATTCAGGCATTGTGAGGCCGGGTTGCCTTGGTAGGTTTTTTGGATATATGCCTCACTGTGTTCGAGCATTACGAAGCTTGGTTGATCTTTATATTAAGAAGTAAATTTTGCAAATCTAAATATTATCCCGAATGTGCAATTTTTTTTAAAAATTTAAAAATAATAAAAGGTGATTAAATCATTTATATTCTAGTACATTTTGAAAATAATATATATTGCACTTTTGTTATATATGAATAAGATTTACACTATTAACGCCTGGCGCTGGTAGAGCTAGTGACACCTCGAACAAACGAAAAGAGATGAGAAAATTTGAAATTCTATAATTTGATACATATGATCAAGTTTTAGATTTTTTAATTTCTTTTAAAATTTTCTATACAATTAGCAATTTGTCGTAATACATTATAAATTTCTAAAAAAAATAATTACCCACTACAATTTTCGAATCTAAATACCTAAAAATAATACCTTCAAAGTGCATCAATATCAAATATTAATAACATTAGAGATTCTTCATGATCCTCACTCCAAATTTTCTCTAATTTTTTTCTCTACCAATAATCTTTAAGGCTAGTGGTACAGTAATCTAAAGGTACCTCGACTCGAGTCAAATGAAACAAGACAAGTCCCTTTCCTAGTTCCCAAAGCTGAACAGCAGCATATTTGTTTGGTGCTTTGCATAATTGTCCTTGGTTGATAAGAATCTAATGAATTAAAACTGGACATCAAATTAATGAGAAATAAGTGCACAGAATAATATTATCATTTCCCACTTGAACTTCCTTCCTGTCAAAGAACCAAAACCATAAGAGAGATCAAGAAACAACACAAGCAGTTCATGGCAAGTCAAAAATAAGCATAACTCAATTCAATAACTGTTCGGGAATATCTTTCTGTTTTGGTTCTCTGATTTTATCTCTGTTCTGTTTTGTATACGTGTTACATTTTCTGTTATATAGCTTTGTGCATTCTGTAAGGAATGGATGACCCATGTTGTATGCATGACACATAGCTAGTGATTTGTTACATATATATACATACGTACCTTCTCTTTGTGGGCAATAAAAATGATAGACAATACTTTTCAGAATATATTTTATTTCTAGTTTTCCATATTCAACAAGGTATCATTGAATTCTTTTTCGAGATCCTGTCGTCAATTTTTTTTTTTTGCTATCTTTGTTTCATTGGTACTATTTCCGGACCCAAGTCTACACAATATTAGAGAAGCTATACCAATTTCCTCCTCTTAGACAGCAGGTTGAATCAGTCATAAAGCCCATAGTCTACGCGGCCATGTGGTTAGTCATTTCTCCTTCAGTTTCTATGATCTTCTTATCGCAAAACAGCAATTGAAAATCTTGAGTTCAGTGCTTGGCAGACTCAAGACCAACTAACTCTTGTGACTGCCGTCGTTTCTATCGGTTGCCTTCTTAACTTGTGTTATTGGATGCAATCACTCCTTTCAACTTTGAGACAAAATTCATTCTCAGTTTAACTCACAAACCAGAGCCATAGCTCGACAACTGAGAAATGAGCTGCGCACTTTGAAGAAAGGAGAAAAAATGATTAATGAGTTTCCCCTCCACATTAAAACTCTTGTCGATGACCTTAACTCCGTTGGTGATCCTGTCCCTGAAGACGAACAACTGGATACTCCATCATTGAAGGTCTTCCCGTTGAATATGAGTCTTTCATCTCATTCATCAACAGCAAACCATAGTTATTCTCACTTTGATAAAATTGAATCATTGTTGGTTGCTCAAAAAGCTCGGATTGAATGATTGAAACACTTGGATACAACTGTCTCTCTTAATCTCGCTTAAACAAATTCTCAAACAGCTTTTGAGCAAAATGTTCAACTTAACTCTGTTCCTTCTATCTCCTCGCAATCTTCACGTCGCAGCTATTTTCAACAAGGAAGAGGATATCCTGGCCGTCACGGAGGACGATCTGGTCATAGCTCAATTCAATGCCAAGTATGCCACAAAGATGGCCACAATGCCTCCTTTTGCTACCATCAGTTTGATCCCAACTTTAGTGCACCAGTGCATCCATTTTCTTCACCACAGATCTACCCTCCACATCAGATTCCACCTTACCATACACAGTCTTAACCACAATTTTCACCTCGATCTCCACTACCCTTCCTCTTTTATCAGCTTTTCCAAACTGCTGCTTATGTTACTTCACCGCACACTTTGCCTCTGTTCATTCACCAACACAACCATCTCAGAATGGTTCATTGATTTCGGCGCTGCTCATCATATCACCAGTGATGCAACAAATCTATCGGATGCAGCCCCTCCTCAAGGTGAAGAAAATGATTTTATGGGAAATGGACAATGTTTGCCAATTTAGTTTTTTGGTTCTGCTTCCAGTCACAAGCCTTCTGTTATATTACATGTGCTTTCCATCAATAAAAATTGTCAGTGTTAGTTTCCTCGTGATAATCATGTGTATTTTGAGTTTCATCCCTCTGTTTGTTTTGTTCAATCCTCGGTTGATAATTTTGTTTTATTAAAAGGTTCTCTCGGTTCAGATGGTTTGTACAATTTTCGGCTGATGAAGCTCTCCTCTCCTTCCCCTGCTTCATCAGTCGTCAATTCCACAATGTCTTGATTTCAATGGCAAAAATTTTATCTCCAAAGATGTTTTATTTGATGGAAATACCTTTCCTTTTGTTTCCAGGACAGTTTCCTCCACACCATTGGTATCTCATTCTCGCTCCATGCCTCCACACCATTGCTATCTCATTCTCGTTCCATTCCACTTGGAGTGCTTCCTTCTATTAATGATCACTCTCCCATTTAGCATGCTACCCCTTCATCTCCTGTATCATCTCTTCCAACTGGTACTACACCCTCTTGGTCCACTCAATTTAGTCACCAAGTTGAACATCCTATTCCATCCATTCTTTCCACTCATTCCATGCAAACTCGTTCCACATTTGGGATTGTTAAGCCTAAACAATTTCCTACCCTTCTTCCTGAACCTACTACTATGTTGTATGCATGACACCTCGCCAGTGCTCAGTTATATATATATATATATATATATATATATATATATATATATATATATATATATTAAGTTTCTCATCAACTAGAAATAAGACTAATTTACAATATTTATGTAGGTACAAACATCACTTTACAAATCAGTTTTGAAGAGTTAAGTTAAATTTAAAGTCGACTTATTAACATGGTATCATAGCCATATGTTTTCCCTATTTCATCTTTAATATATGTTGGTCTCAAACTTTAAAAATAAATAGATATAATCTTCTTAACCCAAAGACGTTAATTTTTTTTTACATGTTCAGTGGCATTCCAGTGGACAGTATCAAATGAATTCCAATTTTACATTAAAATTTAGCAACTAAAAACAAATTTAACCTTATATTTTATTTCTGGTTTTCCATGTTAAACAATAACTTAAAAAATTGAAAACTCTACAATCTTACCATGGAGGGTGAATTCGGATCACATTCCCAACTACAAGGTCAACATTGTTGCAAACCCTTGGGCTAAAGATAATGGTGCTTTGGCTGCTTTTGCTTCCACCAAACCCCATTCCTTCATAATTATCTTGCAACAGAAAATTCTGCAAAAATAATCTATCACCTTCGATCAATTTTCTGATGAGCATTAAATATTGGATTTCTTAAATGCATGATATCGTTCCATTTCAAATAAAGTGATCCTGTCACATTATGTGTTCAAGTGAAGCAAATAAATGAAATAGAATAACACCTAGTTCTAGCTTTTCCAAGAGCACATCGTCATTCTCCACCTCAACAAGAAACATGTTTTTATAGGTAACAACAACAACGAAAGCATTATCCCACTAGGATTTGAATCCAACGAATTAGTGAGGCAGGCATTATGTTAGGTTACTTAATGCGAGTAACCTAAATCGATGCTGTCTTCTCACTCAAACAACACAAATGAAAGTATGTATGTATGTATTATTGATTCTGTAAAGTGAAAGAGAATACAAGTATAATCTTCCCCAAAGAGGCCTATCCTCCTCCACTGGCAAATATGGCCAGTCTATACCCAAAAATCAAATCCCCCCCTTCAATAGAAAACAAAGAAGACTATTTATAGTGTCGCATAATAATATCTCACTCCCGCGCTGCTTCCTACTGAAACAACCGTTCAGCCTAGTGATACTGATCGGTCTAGTGATACCGTTCGGTCTAGTGTTCCTCGGCCTTTCTTCTTCTCTCCCATTAGCACCCGTTCGGCCTCTCTTCCCCATCGTTCGACAACTTTTCCCCACCATTCGGCCTTTCTTCCTCCACCGTTCGGCCTCTCTTCTTCCACCGTTCGGCCTGACCTTCCCCCTGTCTTCCTTCTCCTCTCATACAGTCTTAGTCTCCTACCACATTACCATCTTTTTTCTTTATTACCTTAATGAAATAAAATAGATTGACAATCAGGTAGGCATTCAGGCACAACTACTTAAAATTTTAAACTAATAAACGTAATTAATAAAACTAAGAAAACTAAAAGCCAACAAGTATTTTTAGCAAAATGAAGTTTTTTAAATGGAAATATCTATTAATAAAATCATCAGATTGGTCACCCTTTTAGGACATTCAAACCTTATTTTGAGAATAAAGTATAAACTTCAGTGGATATATGTTGGACTCAAGAGATTTAATCAATAACAATTCTGGATTGAAGAAGAACTAGAGCACAATTTGTTACGTATCCGAGTAGGAGACGTAATTAAACACGATCACAATAGGTAAAAAAGACAATGAAAGAATAATAATGGACGAATGAATCTCTTTTATTGATGATAAAATCTGACTTAACAAAAGTAAACAATAATTGGGAGCATAACCTTCTTCAAGTACTTGGGAGCATAACCTCCCTCACAGGACGCATAGCCGCCTATCACAAGACTCAATAATCAAAAGCATGCCCTAAACAATAGCATCTAGCTTTATTTATATTAAATATTTCCCTAGAATATAATTCTATTTACTATAATTAACTTATACTGAATATTTCCCTAGGATATAATTCTATTTACTATAATTAACTTATACTGAATATTTCTCTAGGATATAATTCTATTTACTATAATTAAATTATACTGAATATTTCCCTAGGATATAATTCTATTTACTATAATTAACTTATACTGAATGTTTTCTTTGGATATAGCTATATTTACTGTAATTAACTTACACTAAATATTTAAATAGGATATGACCTTATTTACTATAATTATTTCTCGCCCATCCTAACTATTGTCCCAGTTAGGATATTCACTCTTCAACCAATCGGCTCTAGCTCTTCATCGCCTTCCGTTCGGCTTGTTTCCCCTTGTATCCTACCTTTTGGCTCCAACTCTTCACCACCTTCCACCGTTTGGCTCCCCTGCCTTCTATCCTATCACCCAGTACCCTATCACAATCCCATAGACATACAAATATCAACTATCTCATAAAGTAACTGCCAAATAATGTAAACGGCTACTGCACCCTTCTTACACTAAGTAATAAGTGCACATGTAGAAATGACTGCTTACTGTGGCATGTAAAAACAGAACTGCCTTGTAATAAATTATGACTGCATTCTATCTTGTTTTCTGACATAAACTGATAGGTCGCGGACTCCTATAACTAAGATTTTACGAGAGAAGAAATAAGGGAAATGGAAATAGAGCTTTTGATGTAGTTACAAATATTAGGCCCACATATTGGCAAAAAATATATAAGTACATAAAGTCAAATTATTAATCAACTAACTGATTGGGCCTATGGGAGGTTGCCCAAATCATGACGGTACAGTTACCATGTCAGGACATTAGTTAAAAATAAGAGATTTGTATAAAAATACCCTTGGGGAGAGAGATCCAGGTGCATGAGAAAATATATGTTGGGAGGATACTGATTCGTTGAAGAACCAGGGTTATTCATTTCTGTAATATCTTCCACTTTGGAAATATACATTATTCAGTCTTTCTGTAAACCTTATCCTTCCTAAGTTTCTGATCCAGTTTCTATAATAGACCTTCAATGACCTACCACAATTTGGCATATCACAATAATAAGAATTTAAAACAATATATGGAGATCAAAGTTAAAATAAGTTGATTTTTAAAACTTGACCTCACCTCTCTGCACTTGCCAAATGAGCAGTGACAAACAGTCAGCTTTCCATCTTGGTATCTTGAAATGATTTTTACATCAAAACAGCCAAGTTGACCTGTGAATTTTTTTCATTATTAGGAAAATAAAGAAGAAGCAGGATCATGTTCATGTTCTACTTTATGCACAATCCCCCTCCCCCCCCTCCTCTCTCTCTCTCTCTGTCTTCAAAAGGGAACAAAAATGAAAAACTATTACCAAATGACTGTTTCAGTAATGAAAAAAGTCTTAAATGGTGTTTTACATAGATAAGGATAGAAAATGCAGAGAAAGTAAAATCAAAAGTTTTACTATCTGGCCTAGCTCCAGCTTTTAACTTTTTCCAGAAGTCCATGTCTGTTTCTTTTTCTTTTAGCATCATCTGCTGTAGTCTTTCAGACAATCCATCACTGCACAATTTGGGCAAGATATTGAATGCAGAATTAGTACAAATTCATATTTAGTTGCGTAAAAGTACCAGGAAGCTACTACTATTTCATACCTCGATGAATTATGAGCCCCAACACGAGTCCCTTCAGTAATAACAGAGGATGTCCCTAGAGCTTCCAAAAATCGCTCTGTCATGGTCTGCGTTTTCTTTACAGAGAAGGTATTTTTTATTTGTTGATAACTTGCCTGTAAAAATAAATAGATGCACAGCAAGTGTTAGGAACAAAGAACTGAAATAAGAAAGAAAAAAACAAAGAAAAAGAAGAGAACTTTTTCTCTCCTTCAAGGGTTTCTCCTTTTACAAAGAGCTAGTGTATAAATGAACCTATATCAATCCCCTCTACTACATGGGTTTCCCCTTCACAAAGAGCTCATGCTTTTATTTTTATCAGTGTGAAAGAAATGAAAAGTTGCTCTAGCGGCAGTGCCGGTGGCAAAGACGGTGGTGGAGACAGCAGCGACTCTGGCAGCAACCAAAAAAATTGTATATGGGATTATTAGGAAACCCTAGCTCTAAATTCCATGTGAAAGTAATGAAAAACAAGGTATAGGATTAATTCCCCTTGTGTAGAAAATACACATAGGGTAATATATTTATAACGAAGAATAACACATGGAAATATGAGCTAAGCCCAAATACACATAATATAATTGTTAGAATTATTTGTTATTGTGTTTAAGTGTATGTGAGCTATGAGTGTGTGTGAGGTGTGTTCCATTCACTTAATCCTGTAAATATAGGATTAAGGAGAAGGGTGTATCAACCAAGTGATTCAATATAATTTCATTTTCACATGGTATCAGAGCAGGTTCTCTGATCTTCTTCCGGGCTCTCTGCCATTTGCCAGCAACCCCTAAAATTTCAGTGAGCAGTCCATTTTCTCTTCTTAAATCTCAGCACCCAGAATCAAAGAGACCTAAAGTCTCTTGGGAATAGCCGTCGCGAGCCGCAAGACGGACCCAGTGTGCCACTGCTATCGCCGCCACTTTCCGCCGTCGTTGCTGCTATCGCCGTCGCCGCCGAACGTCGTTTTCTCCGGCGAAACCCAACCCTAGTGGTCCCGTCCTCTGAAGCCTCTGCACCAGCCGCCACGAGCATCAGATCTCTCTGATCTACGCCGGCCACCGTCACGGTTTCGACCGGTGACCAGCGGATCTGGACCGTCTCCTCGAGCGACGGCCAACCTCGTCGGAGTCAAGACCAGACTCCTCTCCACGCGCCTCCACGCGCTGCCTCCCTTCAGCCAGTCTCGGGTGCGTGTCTGTCACGCGCCGCCTTCTCGTCGGCCACCGTCACAGTTCCGACCGATGTCCAGTGGATTTGGACCGTTTCTTCAAGCGCGACCTAACCCTGGTGGTCGCCATCTCTGTCTCGTCCTCATGCGCCGTCACACGCCTCCTCTCTCCGGTAGATCTCGGACGCGTGTTCATCACGCGCCGCCTTCTCGGTGTCAGCATCAAACCGCGCCGCTGCGGTCATCTCGCCGAACCTCCCTCTCTTTGTCTAGGCACCGCTTGCCGCTGTCCAGGCACTGTTTGCCGTTGTCCGTGCCGTTTGCCGCTGTCCAGGCGCTGTTTGTCGCTGTTTGACATCGTTTGTCGTTGTCTGGTGCCATTTGTCGTTGTCCATCTAGCACTGTTTTGCCACTGTGAGGAGTTGTAGAAGTTTGTCACCATCAACTTCTGTTCCCGACGTTCGTCATTGTCTGCCACGATCCGTTGTTTCCCACCGTTTGCAACTGTCAGCTGCCGACCACAGTCCGCTGCCAACCACCGTCTTTTGTCCTTTCAACCACTGTTTGCCCCATCACCTCGTCAGTTAGTGATGGCAGTCCCTGTAGTTTTGTCGCTTCCAGCCACTATAGGCCCCATCAGTCAGTAATGACAATTTAGTCCCTACAGTGAGGGGATTTCGCCTCTGTGTTGCTATTGTTGCCTTTTTCTCACTAGATTTGCCGCAGTCAGCACTGGCGCAGTCAACCGCCGATGCACTACCGTCTCAGACAGACGCAACTACGTCAGTTCTTCTTGGGCTAGAGTTTAGCCCGATCTTCTTGTGATACACTACTAAGTATCACCACTTGGGAGTTGTCCAGCAAAGAATTTTGGACCTCCAACATGTCTTTGGATCTTTGATGCATTTGATTCAGCATTGTAGCTTAATATTTTGTTTTGTTTTAGTGGTCCAGCAACTGTGATATTTCACATTTCCGCCGTTCACACTAAGGGGGAGTACGTTTCCAAGACACTGCAAGTCACATAAATATGGGTGTAGTCCCTGCAGTTTTGTAGATTTCATCTACTATTGTTGATCCCATCACCCATCCATCATTGATGAGGATTTAGTGTAGTCCCTACAGTTTTGTAGCTCTTAGCTTTCAGCTACTACTGTTGATCCCGTCACTCATCCATCATTGATTGGGAATCAGTCCTTGCAGTTTGTCATTGTCCACCACTGCTCTTCTTCATCCACTTTTGAAGTTGAAGTTTCACAAGCTGCTGTTAGTCCATCTATGTTTGCCTCACACTCTTGAAGACAAATCATGTAGTTCAACACTGAGTTCATCTATTCCAAGCTCAGTTTATACAATTTGTATGCTCCGGCTTGAGGGGGAGTGTTAGAATTATTGGTTATTGTGTTTAAGTGTATGTGAGCTGTGAGTGTGTATGTGCTGTATCTGAGTGTGTGTGAGGTGTGTTCCATTCACTTAATCCTATAAATATAGGATTAAGGAGAAGGGTGTATCAACCAAGTGATTCAATATAATTTCATTTTCACATAATAAATAATATAAGATATTGTGACTAACAATTTCTAACAATATCTAACAACCGATAGAAACAAAGAGCTTATGCTTAGCTCGCAATAACAACTCTGGGTATTTTTTATCCTTAACGTATTCATATCTAACTAACCCTTCTAAATAACTAACCAATTCATAAATATTCTAGCAATCACAATTAACTCATTAATCTATCTTAACCAACTCCTTATATCCTAACAGCTAGACACTAAACTAAAAAGTAAAGTCATACTGCATATATAGTTATATACCTTATTGTCACTTGATGATCCACTTTCCACGGGATCTGAGAAATCTTCACTATCAACAGTTGTATCTTTTAAGTGGGGTCTACTACTTTTCTGCAAAAGCTGCACTAAATTGCCTCTTCTTTAAGGATTATTCAGAAAATATTGAAATATGGATGCAAGAAAGACCTCATACGGGAAAAAAATCAATGGATAGGTCTAAGAGTACCGGAAGCATTTCAAAATTTCTACCCACCTGATTGGCTTTGTCTTGGAGGTTATTAAAGAGCTCATTCATTGAGGTGAGATTAAACTCACGTGGAAAAGCTTCTATTTCATCAGGCTCAATGTCTGAATTTACTTCAATTTTGTCATCATCTTCAAGATGATTTTCCTCTAAATTTCCAGAACTCCTAAGATCAACCACTTTCAAAATTTTACTCTAGTCAGTTACTTTTACTTACACACTAATAAGACATTAAAAAACTACTGTTGTACAGAGGAAAAGAAAATAAATTGTTGTAATTAGAGAAAATATCTATAGAATCTTCTTAATTAGAAAAAATATCTATAAAATCTTCCTAATTAAAGAAAATATTTGTAGGATTTTCTGGATTATTTTTCAGTATATTGTTTCCTTATTTCCCTTCATTAGAAGATTAGATTGTTACAAATAGAGGTAAGGAGAATCTAATTGACATGAACGAAAATAATAAAATCATTCTCTTTTTCAAGTTAAACCTATCATACAACTGATGTACAGTGAAAAACACGAGCAAATCTACCCTCTAATAGTTCACCATAGGGATGCTCATAGTTTGTACAGAACCTATATAATGTACAACAAGTGGGCTAAACTAAACTGCAACTGTCTCATATCAGTTACAGGTTAGGAGTTAGGAGAACTCATAAATCCAACTTCTTTCTGATAGAATATTCCCTAACAATAGAAGTCCTTTGTTCATGCACACTTTATTTTACCAAAATGAGATGTAGCACGGAAAACAAAATAAATGTTGAATGGTATTGCAAAAACCTGAAGCTAGTAGCCAAGTATAGGGATGAATCTCTTTGGAAAAACTCATGGTCTAGTCCAGAAAAAAAAAATTGTATTCTCTTTCAAACACATACCAGATGTAATTGCTTTGGAGCAGGTCATATGAGACCCTGACACGCTTCCTTTGTAATGTAGCAATGCTTCAGAAATTCTGGTCATATCTCTAATATGTTTGTTTCTGATAGATTGTGGACCATACTTGAGGAGCTGTGGGGCTGATACGGCAGTATTATCCTTTAACAAGTAAAAATTAAATAAAGAATGAACAGTCAAATTACCTCCTCGAAGATACACATTAACACAGTCAATCATACTATTACTATATTTATCCTATTTATCATCATTATATTGTGTCAAGGGTTATCCTATTTATCATGATTATATTGTGTCTAGGGTTACCCTATTTATGATGATTATATTGTGTCTAGAATTACCCTATTTATCATGATTGTATTGTGTCTAGGGTTACCCTAATTATCTTGTACTCTTGTATCAATTTATTTTTATAAATAGAAGATTATGAGAGAGATCAATCAAGCCCTCTAGAATTATTTTACAGTTTAATTCTCAAGTCATACAAGTCCACAAATTAAGGAAATTATACTCATTGTTCTTGATTTTGAAAGGGACAACTATTGCCTCAAGAGAAGAAAGTGTGAATCAATTGCAGGAAGAACAGGATGCGATTTTGAGAGAATTAAAGTACAACCTCTGCAAAGCATAAGATCAAAATTGTGCTCAAGCCAATAAGCACAGGTGGGAGGTGGTTTATCAAGTAGGAGATTGGGTTTTTCTAAAAATCCAACTTTACAAGTTCAAGTCATTAGCAAAGAAGCCCAATGAAAAAAATAGTCATAGTTTTTGTGGACCTTATCAGATTGCAGAATGCATTGGACAAGTTGTGTATAGACTGTTCCTTCCTGAACACAGTCATATTCATCTAGTTTTTCATGTACCCTTACTCGAACTAGCCATGAATTCAGCATACTTATCGCAACCCCTGCCTCCAATGTTGTCTGTTGATAGGTTTGGTATATAGTATATAAGAGACGAAATAAATAAGAGGGTATGCCTGCTGTAACAGACTATTATAAATAGCCCAGGGTTAGTAGTAGGGTGGCAGTTTTTTAGTAAAGGAAAAACTTCAGGAGAATTGTGGATAGTGAGGTTCTCTCGAACAACCTAAGTAGGGGAGACGCTTTGTAACATTCTATACCATTTCTATACCTACTGCATTGGTAGGTGCAAAATTGGAGTAAAGCAATAAAGTTTTTCAAGATTGACTCTTGTATTTCAATTCTTAATACGCAGTTCTATTAGTCAATTATTCATCAAAAGTGCATTTTGTTAATCAAACCATTGCTTGATATTTCGAATGTGGGGACTAATTTGGCGGAAGGATTAGTTCCTAATGCACAATTTTCATCATTCAGGGACTAATGTGACCAATGCAAAATATCTCAAGGATTAAACTTTCATTATTTACTCTAAACAAAAATATGAAGCGTATAAAGTCATGCATAAAATGGAAAAATAGATGACTAGGAAAATATCAATTCTGTCCGGAAATTAGAACTAAAAATTAAACTTTGTGACTTTGAAAATTATCAATCAATTTGGTCCCTAATATTACAAAGAAGATAAATTTGGTCTTTTGACTTTTGACTACCATTCATCAATCTGGTCTTACTTGACGCACACCAAAATCATCAGGCACCAACCTAATTAACTCACAATAACATCAGTGGTGCCAATTTCATTTGAGCAACCAAATTGGTGTTTGCTAATAAATAGATGGTTGAAAGATGAGAAGTAAAACATTCTATCAGAATTTTAAAGAGTACCCTGTCTGCAGAATTGTTTTCTTCATCAGTTGAATTGGCAACAACCTCTCCCTCGTTGAAGTCAGGCATCTCAACCTCATCTTCAAGCGGTTTCTGATTAACCAATAAACACATCAGTTACTTCCTTTTCTTCACAACAAACAAATCCAAAAAACCACCCAAAGACATGCCTCAGATGAAGAACTGGTGCCTTTCCCAGACAAATTCCGATCACTGATTCCTGTACCGCAGTACCCTTCTCAGAATCGATCAATAATATTAACAGTTAGGGTCGATTGGACAAGCATATCCAGAATTTTTTTTGAGAAATTAGGGAGAAACCTGTTCAAACAGTTCCTTAATAACTAACTACAAATCTATTTTGGTTGAAACTAAAACAGTTAGATGATGTACCTTTTAGAATGTCAAGCCGCACAGCAAGAGGCAATTCTTGCTATAAAAATCAGAAGAAGAAAAAGAAGAAAACAGTGATAGTGATTGCATTTTATAAAATGTGCAGAGAAAACAAAATTCAATTCGAACAAAACTTTTGGGTGTGAACCTTGTGGGTGTTGTCTGAGGAAAGCGCATTATTGGGGAAAACGGCGTCGTCTTCATCTGGCGGTAAATGAAGAAAGAGCTGATTGGATTAGCAAATTGGTGTGTGCACTAAGAATAGGATTTGAGACTGAGTTGCAGAAAATTACCAGAAATGCTTTCGTCCGAGTCTGGTCTGTTCCGCGAAATTAAGCGAAGTGGGATTAGGGATTTTGGTTGCCTTCGCCTTCTCATGTCTCAGCTTAACGTCCCAACAACACTGAATGTTGATGGTGTAGAAGAAAAATGGAAGGATTGTTGTGATTGGAAATGTGTTGCATGTGAGAATGTTAGTTATGACATTCAAAACTCGCAATTGAATTTCAAAAGTTTAAAGCAAAGTCGGTTGGAGCGGAAGGAGTGGTGACTGGTCTTCTAGTTATTCATATCTCAAGGACAATTGGCGGAGTTCTTTTGTGAATTGCCTGCGACAGTTTCATGCTTGCTTCATATTCTAGTACTACCGGTGCCTTTATCGGTAATTTTGTTTGTTTATATATGTAATATTTAATTAACTAATTATATTAAATTAGAACATATTCATTTAATTTTAGAGAAAAAACATATGTATGTGTAGCTAAAAGTGAATGTTAAATGAAAAATATGTTGATTTATTAATAATATTAATATTTATTCAAAAAAGTTAAAGTTTATTTATTCAATAATAATAATAATAATAATAATAATAATAAGGCTTAATTACCTACTTAGTCCCCATGTTCGGAGGTAATTTGCTGTTTAGTACCCGGTTTTAAAAATGTAGGCATTTGATACCTATGTTTTGAAATTTGTATCAATTGAATCCTACCCACTTAACGCCGTTATAAATCTAACGTTTTTTCTGATTGTGTATGTGATTTGTGGACGAGCGGTTATGGACGAGCGTTCGCTTCGTTGGACGAGCGTCCTCTTCTGCCTGACTGGGCGTTCGCTTCGCTGGACGAGCGTCCTCTTCTGCCTGACTGGGCGTTCGCTTCGCTGGACGAGCGTCCTCTTCTGCCTCGCTGGACGAGCGTCCTCTTCTGCCTCGCTGGACGAGCGTCCTCTTCGCTGGACGATCGTCCTCGTCGCTCGTCCACAAACGCTCGTCCACAAATCACATACACAGTCAGAAAAACGTTAGATTTATAACGGCGTTAAGTGGGTAGGATTCAATTGATACAAATTTCAAAACATAGGTATCAAATGCCTACATTTTTAAAACCGGGTACTAAACAGCAAATTACCTCCGAACATGGGGACTAAGTAGGTAATTAAGCCTAATAATAATAATAATAATTATTAAATATAATATAAACTATATATGAGATTAATCTCACTTGTATGGAATATACACATAGGATCATCTATTTATAATAGAAGAAATATGGACTAAGTCCAATATGCAAATAAGAAATAATAACAAACTAACTAAAGATAAAAGATAAATATAAAATAAAGATAATATATCTAACACTCTCTCAAGCTAATGCAAACAAATAGTATATATCAATCTTGTTACTAATATAATCCATAAACATAGTAAAAATATTTTTTTATGCACTCGAGTGACACCAAATTGCTAATGATTTGCAAGATGACAAAGAACACAAAATATCAACCCAAAAGACTCCCCTGAGCAACAAATCTAGGAGGTTGCTCCATGTAAATCTCTTCTTGCAAATCACTGTGGAGGAATGCATTGTTGACATCTAGCTGATAAAGAGAACACTATAAATAAACTAACAAAAGTCATATTTTCCATGGGAGAAAAAACATATATGGATGGTTCAAAAGCAATGGTGAGAAAAGGGATGTCAAAAGAGACGACAATGGAAGAAGCCATGGATGAACAAGAGAGAGAAACCATAAAAATCCAAGATTCTCCAATCAAGGCACCTGAAAAAGGAAAAAGAGCAACCCCGATGCTTTGAATAGTTACCTGAGAGGAGATGGGACGTGCGACAATGCACGATGAACCTAAAAAAGGAAAATAAGTGATCTCGATGCTCTGAATTGCTAATAGACATGCCACCATGCGCGATCGAAAAATGGAGCAAATCCACAACTTCAAAAGGCATGATGGTCGCCTGGCCGAGACGATCAAAACCATGTGATTGTTGGTCAAAACTAGAACTCCGACAGTGATAATGGTAGACTATGTCTTTGCCACCGACGGTAGATAACACCGTCGATAGCAGTGTGTGTAATGGTAGATAGAGGCAACAAAATTTTTTTTCTTAAAAGAACCTTAAGCTCTAGATACCATGTTGAATATAGTAAAAACTATGTATGAGATTAATCTCCCTTGTATTGAATATTGGGAGAGAAAGGAAGAGTTGCAGAAAACCTTAGTGCAAGGGAAGATTGGTGTTGTTTGGAGTTGTAGATAAAGCCCTAGGATTGACCAATGTATGGGGAAGCTTATCATTGTTTGTTTCTTATTTGTTTGTATGATGAATTGGGTTTTCTTTTAATTATCTTGAAAGGTAATGTTGTTTTGATGCATGTGGATGTATGATAATATGTTTTGCATGGTGATAGGGTTATATTCCTTATTAGGGTTTGATGCTAAGTGGGAACAAAGTTATGATAATTCGGATTTTTATCATGCAAATATATGTTATGAAGATGGTATGATAATCTAATGCAGATTATTGGGTTTGTTGGGTTATAATTTGCATAATGATGTGTTATGGATGATTCAAGTGATGTAATGTATGTATTAGGGTCTATTCATAAAGGTATGTGAGGCTTGAATGCATGCACATGAGGTTTTGGAGTGTACTTGAGTATGTAGTTGATGAGCATGAGAGTGAAGTATAAGTCTACTAGTTGTACCTAGTAAATCCTGGTGCTATTTGCGGATAAGTGATTCCTTTTGCCTTGTGTGTCTCGAAAGGGTTGTTCGGGTATTGGGTCTTCCTTGTGTGGTGGTGATGGTGTGTTTCTTGTCCTTGTGTGGTAGGACTACATGTTCCTTAGCTAGATTGCGGGACTACTTGAACGTATCCGTAGGAGAAGCTATAGATTGGTCTGTAGGAGCGACTACAAACGAGTAAGGTAAGGTAAGGCCACATAAATTCATAACTAAACTAAATTCCAAACAGAATTATGATAGTCCATAAACAACATTCACAACATCAAGCAATCAAAAGGCTAGTTACCATCATTCAATCACAAATTATACTGAAACAAATATTCCTCTTTCAATCAAGTCAACATAATCTACTACCAATAATAAATCATACATATCAAAGTAAAATAAAATCAAAGAAAGGTTGCTAGTTTCCCTTATATTCACAAAATTGCTACCAAACTTTAAATACGCACAACGCTTACTCAAGCTCAAGGAACTCTAGAAACGCCTACAAACAACTGAATTGTGATCGAAGTGAGTCCTTAGAACCTCAAATTATCAAAGAACTAGAAAAGAAGCTCAATTGACACATGCGAAAGGATTCTTATGCATGGCCTTAACTAAAGAATTAAAAGAAAAAAAGGAATAAGAACTTACTTGCTCTAAAAAGAAAGTTGATCGAATGATGATGGAGATTACACTGTTGTGATCTCCTAGATGCTTCCTCATCGTTAAACAGATGATCCAAAAGTCAGAAATTGTAGAGAAAAGGGAAAGAGAACTCAAAAAAAGAGTTATATAGAGATTGAGACTATTTTAGATAATAACACGAATTCATGAAATTCTATTTATATTATTGAATTATTTTAACATTAAAATACTCGGTCTCATTATTTTAAAACACATATCAACTCATACTCTATTTTCTAGGTTTTTACAGATTCCTAACTCAAAGGAAGTCCAAACTCCACCTTAGAGGCGATAACCCTTTCCAAGGTGTAAGGAGAATAAACAAAATTGCCTATGAGTTAGATTTATCCCAGATTTATCCCTAATTACAACATGAGTCATACTTTTTATGTGGGTGATCTTTCTCCTTTTGATATAGGTTTAACAAATTCATGGTTGAATTCTCTCTCTAAGAAGGGGAAGATGATGAGTCTATGACTCCCCATGAGAGCATAAAGGACCTTCCTAGGAGGATTACTAGAAGCATGACAAAAAGGCAGACCTCTAATCTATCTTTGACTTTATTTAGCATTAGTTTATGTTAACTTTGTTGATATTGACTTGAATTTTGTTGACCTTTACTTGTGTGTTTGTTTTGTAGGCTTTGCTAGTGACACCTTGGAGGGAAGTGACACATATTTGGAGAGGATAAAAGGCTTAGGCTTGGCTCACATGTAGGAGATGTCTCCTTTGGGGATCTTGGAGATCAAAGGTTGACCTTTCTAAAAGGTCATGGGGGCATGAGAGCCTTAGAGAGCAAAGATAATCATGCCTTCCATACCTAGGTGTTTCCTTTATATGACATAGTTTCTAGAAGCCTTCTTTTTATATGTGTTAGTTTGTCCTTTGTTTTTGCTAAGATGTCCCTTCCATCACCTATAAAAGGATACCTCATTGTCTTGTAAAAGGGTTGAATATTTTGAATTTATACACTTATATTTGAACACCCTTTTTGAGTTGAACCCTCTATGGACTGTCTCTTTCTCTTAGTCTTATGTTGAGCTTGGTCTCGGCATCCCCACTTATCTTGGGTTCATGAGACTTTGTTCCTCCCCCAAGTGATTTGATTGTACCTCTACCACTTCCCTTTTCTAGTCTTTTATCTTTTGTTCCATTTTGTATGTTCTTGTTTATTTATGCATTTATGTTTCACGCTTGTTATGATATAGATCCATCTTATATTTAGAATTAGTGTAAGGTTTTTGTGTTAAAGTTTCTTAAGAAAACTCCAAAAAGATTCCCACTAGATATTAAGATAACCAAATGGTTATCTAGATGTGAATGTACACTTCAAGGAGCTCAAAAGAGAATAAGAGATGGTTCAATTGAAACAAGAAACATAACAATAATAATGAACATAAAAGGTAAAAAAGCATAAAATGGAATATAAGAACATATAACCTGAAAAAAATGAACAAAAAGTTGAAGATAGTACAAAGGGAATTGGGGAGAAAGGAAGGCATGCCATTGGGTACTAAGTCACCTAAAATAAGTGGTGGTTGTCGCTACTTGAACCAATGTTCAAGATGAGACTAAGAGTACAGAACTCTCACAAGAGCAAAGCTCACAAAATGTTATGTTCTAGAAAATAGGGCAGCCTAGGAAACTTATGTTCTCTTCTTTACTCTCCAATAGTGCCCAAACAATCCAGAAGGTCAGTAAAAGTCCCTCTTGCTCTTCATGGCTTTCTCCCATGTTTCTTTACCAGTTATAAGGTTAACTAAGCTCCTATCCTCTCAAATGTAGGCACACATGTTGACCCAACCTCCAATGCCCTTCTTGATCCATCTAGGTGCACCCCTTATCAAATTAAGGGTGTCCAAGAGCAATCATACAAAAATAAATGAGTAATTCATGAGTCTAGAATTTATTCTATAGGACAAGAAAAACTAAACCGA